TAATTCATGTGTTATAGTTCAAGATGCTCAAGTATTCGTCATTTTACCCATATTTTTCCTACCCTAACCAAAGAGCCTACATTACAACCAAATGAAAAGTCCTTTTTGATTCATGAATTGCATGCACAATACGTGGTGGAGATAGTAGACGACTTGCAAGCTTATGGTAATTTATCAACATTGAATTGACTTGAGCGATTATTTCCCTATATTCTTTTGAGAGTGAGAGTATACACTTATCTAGTGAGGTTTGTGGATTGAAAGTATTGACCATGATTTTGATGAAGCATTCTTTATGTTTAAAGATTTTGGAACTTGGTTATGTTATTTGCTCGATGTCTATTGAGAATGTGTATGATTGACTTTGAAAGTGTGGTCGTTTTTCCTTGTGTGTTGGTAGGAGTTTGATGCATTGATCGGGAATATGAATGGTTTAAGTTTGGGTGTTTGTTCATGCGTAATTTTACACCATATTTATTGAGTATCTAGAGCTTAGTCATTGCATTATTGGTGTATAAATTGCATATTTTGCTTTAATTCGATATTTGTTGGAAAGGCATTACACGTGCTTGTTTTGTAGATATTTTCCACATATTTGTAGAGCTATTGGCTATTGGAGGCGCATGGTAGGTACCTAGGAACCCCGGGATGATGAAAGATTGATGCACGGATGAAAAGAAATGGAAGAAACGAGTCAAACAAGTGAAAAATAGAGTGCAGATTTGTGACACGGGCAGTGACACGGGCACCGTGCCCCTGTCAGAGGCCGTGTCACCTCAAAAGAGAAATTTCGAAGCTCAGGGACCTGACATGGACGGCGACACGGGCAGAATGGCCGTGTCACGCGCGCAAGCTGTTTTTTATATCTTACCTACTTTGAAAAGGAAAAGGATTTTTGACATTATAAAAGGCATATTTACCTTATTTTGAAGGGGAACGTGGAGAACGCAAGAGAGGAGTCCTAGAACACACAAGAGAAGCAATTGGGAAGCAAAAAGAAGATCAACTACGAAGGGATCAAGAAGATTGAAATATCAACAAGATTCCTAGTTTTTATTTCTTCTTTCCTTTTGAACTTTGATTGATCATGTTGATTTCTAATATGCCTATGTATTTGAATTCAAACATGAGTGGCTAGTTTATTCGATTCTAGGACTTGGTAGTAGATTAATATGTTGGAATTTTGGAGATTTATTTATAATTAAGTGTTTTTCTTTTGAACCCTATTTAAGTATTTTGTTCTTATTTCATGTTTAGCACTTGGCCAATGCTTTTGCATGTCTGACAATATTGTTCATAATTCGAGAGATGAGTTCAATATTAGGTCTTTAATATTTGACACAATTTACTTGCTTGAATCGAGAGATTAGTAGGTTGTTGTGAGGATATTAGATCTTTTAATCTATTTGGAGTTGAATTGCATGTGTTGAGTGGTGACGCTAATATATGTGATTTAATCTACAATTTTATCGATCTTGAGAGGGACGATAAGCTAAATTTGTGATCATCTTATAGGGTAGATAAGAAATCATTTAGTTGTGATATTTTTAAAGGAACCCAACTGTTAATTGAACACAACATCTTAGAATCTATCATTTCCATATATTTTCTCACGTGTTTTTGCTAGTCCTTTATTTTTGTTTTATTCCATTTGATTTATTTTTTTTTTTTATTTTAGCAATACATCTCATATTCGATCATGTAAATAAAGTTGACACTATCATAATCTTGTACTTGATATAATAATCATTTGGTCCCTTGGAATACGACCTTGCTTGCCACATACTATGAGAGAAGCCGTACACTTGCGGTCGATCTTTAAAAATATAGGCGAACAAAGTGCGATTTGGAATGATGTTAAACAAACGAGAACAACTAATGTTGAGAGATGCAAAGGATTTTGAAAGAAAATGAGATCTATCATCATAAAAGTAGTTCATACACCCCACATTAAAATGGGGTTGTGGAGAGAAAGCACATATCCATCTTGGAAGTGGCTAGATCATTGTATTTTTAAGCCAAGCTCAGTAAGCTTTGTGGCCTTATTCATTACTGGTTGGTGTGCACATCATCAACTCATTGCCAACTGAAACTTTAGGTTGGATTTTTCCTTATAAGTTGTTACATAGCACAAAACCTAGCTATGCTAGATTCAAGACATTTGGATGTTTATGTTATGCAGTGAAAATAAGCCCTATAATATAGGACGAATTTTGGTGAAAGAGTTATTTCTACTGTTTTTCTGGGATATGTTGGTGGAGTTCAAGGATATGGGTTTATAATTTGGAGCCTAATAAAGTTTTCATTTCAAAAGATGTGGTGTTTCATAAAAACATATTTCCTTTTCATAATCAACAAGAAACTGCCAAATTGGTGCCTCTTCAAATTGTTTCAGAAAATGATTTAGTTGCTGAAGAAAGTAATCAGATTGTGCATTTTTCACCAGGAAAAATTATTGATGCAATGAATACGTTGATAGAGGTGGGAGAAGGATTAAAACACCCAATTGGTTGTCAGACTATGTTATGCATACTTCTTATCATGAAGAACAAATTGAGGATGTCATATGATTTTTCACTGAAGTTAATAAAACAGACAATGAACCATTGTTATATGAACAAGCAGTCAAGAATGATACATGGGTTGATGCAATGAATAAGGAGTTGAGATAGAGACTGCAATTTGAAGACCGAGCTGGATCGCCCGAACCTCTGCGACGTAGCTCGAGGAGGCCTGAAGTGGGGCGTGGAATGCAGAGTCTCACTGAGATCTCTAATCAGACCCTTGCCTCTGGCGACTCGTGTGAGTCGATCGAAAAATCTATCGGTGTTCATTTTGACCCACGGGGAGTCGAGTCTCACCCAAACAATAGCTCTGAGTCGTGGGTGTTGGACATGCGACAACGGAGGTGTCACGAAGCGGTAGGGAGGTGTGCATCTCGTCTAGTCTCTTGGCGTGAGTTGGCCAAAGCTTTGAGGAGGGAGAGATGTCGATCAACGTGCAAAACAATGTGAGAGCACATAAAAGTAATATCCCTATGCTTCACACTATTTCTCTATGTCTTGATGAACCACAAGATCAAACAAGGAATTGTAACACCCCGCTAGCTTATAAAAATCAGAGTCAAATTTTCGCAAAATCTTATCTGAAAAGTACTTACTAGTATCCGACTGCAAATCGGATCAAAATCTAAAATCCACATGCCAGTCTGAAAAGCTAAAATGTGACAGCAGAAGTAAAAACGTGGCAAAATAAATATATACAGTACAAGTCTGCAAAATGGCGTAAAGCCAAAGTCCATGACGACCTGCTCAGCTCACTCCTCAGGACCGACCCTATGACCTGAAAAAAAAAAGATAATATAGTGGGAGCGTGAGCACTAAAAGCCACTGTGCTCCGCAGAAACTCATGCTGAAGTAAAACAGTAATAATAATTGCAATATCATGATAAATGGTATATATATATAACTGTAACTGGTACTGTAACAGAATCTGTAACTGCTGATCAACCGTAGGAAGCCCACGTGTCTAAAGTGTGTGCGCTGTGAGAAGAAACTCGAAGCACAAAGAAATTATTTATAATAGGTAGAGGTATATGAGTATAAATGACAAAATGCGCCCACACTCTCCTCGCAACCTCGCTCTCTAAAAACAAATGGAAAAAGTCCCAATCTGGAAATCACCAGTCTAGGCACAACAATAATACCACGAGGGAAGGAAACCCCCCTCGTCTGCACCACAAAGTCTCAGGCCGAACAACATTAATTAGAATTGATGTTTTGGGCAAAGTTGTGGTACAACTGTGTTCTTACTGTAGTCCTGCTGGGTTTTCCATTGACACTTTTACGATGTGTTTGTTTATCAATTATTTCATACTCAATCTGTATATATAGTTTCTAGCTAAACATTTAATAAAACCTCAAAATTTCCCTCCAAAAGACGTTACTTTGCACTAAATAAGTTTTTATAATTTTTTTATTTATTTATTATTTAATAAGTTAATAACTACTACTAACAAATAATAAAGTCTCGTTAAATGATATTATAATTAAGTTTTTTCTTCAAACTATTTTTTTTAACTCATTAAGCAAGTTTTTTTTATTAATATAGTTATTTAATTTTTATGATATAACAAACTTTTTAAAATTTCGTACATCAGTGTTATAATGATAATTATTTCAATATTGTTTTATCTAATCAATTGTTCAGAATTAATATAAATTGCAAAAATTATATAACCGTAATCGATATAAAAATTAATATGTAATTTAATAGTTTATGTTAATTCGTTCATTTTTACTAATGATAAAATTTATAAAATATGACATTCTCATAATCTAACTTATGATTTAAATATTACATACAAATACAGATAACATATAAAATTTTATTTGTAACTGTGCATGTGCACGAAATCTAGTTTATATTAAAATCTAACTCACCTTTAACTTAATCCCACCATCCTCAATATTATCAATATGATATATAATACCAATCAATAATTCTTACATGTCACACCAACTTTATTTCACTATTCATCCACTCACAAAAATTTAACTAATCATCACTTCACATCATCTCTCTTACTTTTTATATCAGATTAACTTTAATTATTTTATTTTAAAAAATATTTTACTATAAATTCAAATCACACTAACAAATAACCATATTAACTATCCAAAATTAACAACAGTTAACAAAAAAAAAAAAAAAACACTCAATATATTTGTATCCAAACACGCCCTTAAACGGATGTTGCTCAAATTCATAAAAGCAAGAAGGCAAGTAGCCTAGCATACAAAAAGACGGGATATCAGACAATGATACTTTATATTTATGGAGACCAAAGAAATGTTTATGATTTCATGTATGCATTTGTCCGATGGAAGATACACGCAAATGTTAGAATTTCCAACTTTTGGCATTTCTATCTTTTTATGTTCTCATTTGTAAATACAACATCAGTAGGAACAAAAAAAGGGCAGGTCGTAAATCCATCCTCAAAATGCTGCCCAACCGGCTGCAGAGCTCTTAGTTGGTTCTGATCCACCAGTAGAAGGAAGATCTTTCTGCAGAATCACACCAAACAAAAAAAAAAA